TTTTGCTTCTGCCCTAGACATAGAGCCTGCTCCTTGCTAACCCATTCCTACCCCACCCCACCCCCAAGGCTGTTATGTCAAAATAGGAAATTTATTTTCCTTGATTCTTAGCCCCTTCTTCTTTGAGCACATCTTGATTATCATGGGCCAACTGCTTTGTCTTCCTCAAGGAGACTGCGTTGAATTGTGAAACACACTCAAGTGGTCAGGTTGCGCTGAATGGGACAACATGAGTGCTTTTGCCTTTCTTATCACAGCAATGGAGGCCACAAGCAAGTTGATACTTGCTTTCCTTTGCATATCTCCCAAGGTAAGTCGGCCACAAGTGAAACTTTAGGAAGTCGTCTCTAGGCCATTAAACTGGAGGCATGACACCATTCACGTTGGGCTTGTTTCCTTGTGACAGAAGGAAAAAAATAGCATTCTTTGCAGAATTATTAATCATAGACTTTAATCCATTTTACAGGGGAAAGGATGTTTTATAGTAGAATTGACAAGTCTAGAATTTTTTTAAGGTCTTGTGTTTGTCCCTTGTAAATTTCAAGTCTCCTGATGCTATAAGTCATGCTTGCATATCTGTCTCTAAGCTACATGTCTGCTGTCCAATACTCTAGCAACCCTGTTGGTTACTGAGTACTAATGTGGATAATCTGAATTGAGATTTACTGTGAGTATACAATATACACGAAAATATGAATTAAAATAAATGAATATTAAAATATTTACATATTTTAAAGGCAGAGTAACAGAGATGGAGGATTAAGAGATGGAGATTAAGAGAGAGGAAGAGAGAGATCTTCCATCCTCTGGTTCATTCCCCAGATGGCTGCAACATCCTGGGCTGGGCCAGGCCAGGAGCCAGGAACTCCATCTGGGTTTCCCACATGGGTTGGAAGAGCCCCCAGCACTTGAGCCATTGTGCACTGCCTGCCTTCCCAGACACATTGGCAGGAGGCTAGATCAGAAGCAGAGCAGCTGGGTCTCAAACCAGCATGCTGATACGAGATGCTGGTGCCATGAACAGCAGCCTAAGCTGTGCCATCATGCTGGTCCCCATTAGTGATTTTTATATTGATTACAAGCAGAAATATATTTTAGATATGTTGTTTTTAAAATGCACTATTAATTTTTACTATTTCTTTTTCATGGCTATTAGGTCATTTGAAGTTCCACATGTGACTCATGTATATTTCCATCAGAGGGAACTGATGGAGGCTGTGGTTTCTTGAGGCCAGGCACAGTGTCTGGCACATGTTAATTCAGTGCTCAATTCATTTCAGCTCAACAATTCAGTTTCTAATGGAGTATTAGTCAACCTTAAAAGAAGGAAATTCTGTCATATACTGCACAGCGTAGATGAACCTTGAAGACATTATGCTAAGTGAAGTAAGCCCATCACAAAAACACAAATACTTCCTGATTCCATTTGCACAAGGTATCTGAAGTTGTCTCAGAAAGTGGAATGGTGACTGTGAAGGGCTCATAGGAGGGAGAACCAGGGGATTGTTCATTGGACATAATTTCAATCATTCAAGATTAACAAGTTGTAAAAATCTCTTGTATACTTACAACAAGGTATAGTTAGCAGTGTACCATAAACTAAAGATGGCTGACAGTAAACATGTGTTTTTCTATACTAAAAATCGATCAAAAGTACCAACTATTCTAATAGTCTGTTGTAAAATTGAACTTGAAGGGAAGTATGTAATAATTTGATGTCCTTTGAGTACGTCTTTGTATGAATGATTTTGTTGGGAGCTTTGAGCTAAGTAACATAAATGTGTGCTTGCAGAGAAGCCGTGTGGGTGGTAAAAGGGCTGGGGCCTGAGACCTCTCCCTGATTGCACTGCGTGGAGGTCAGAGCTTCCTCTCTCTCAATGTCATTTCCAAAGCAACCTGACCGGATACTTGGAAGCCTGCTTGAGAGAAAGGGAGGTATGGGTTCCAGGATGCTCTCCCTTCAGAGGCATCCAGATATGCTTGGAAAATTCCTTCCTTTCCCTGGAATTTCAACACCTCAGTTTTGTTCTGATAAGACTTTAAAAAACAAAACAAAACAAAAAACCAGGGCTGGCGCTGTGGCATAGCTGGTATCCCATATGGGCACTGGTTTGAATCCTGGCTGCTCCACTTCCAATCCAGCTCTCCGCTGTGGCCTGGGAAAGCAGTGGCGGATGGCCCAAGTCCTTGGGCCTCTGCACCTGTGTGGGAGATGCGGAGGCTGCTGGCTCCTGGCTTCGGATCTGTGCAGAACCAGCTGTTGCGGCCATCTGGGGAGTGAACCAGCAGATGGAAGAAATTGCTCTCTCTCTCTGCTTCTCCTTCTCTCTCTGTGTAACTCTGAATTTCAAATAAATAAATCTAAATAAACAACAACAAAAAAAAACAAGGGAATTGCTAGGGATTCGAGGAGTCCTGGTGTCCAGGACCCTCTCTGAGATGGGGTGGGGGGAGATTTTGTAGAGGGGCCAGAATCAGCCCTCATATGCTGAACACTTGATCTGGTAGCCACCAGAGGTTCTGGGTCTGGTCAGAGTCCCTTACATGGGTAGTGAGTTCTTCATTTTTTATTTTGGAAAGATTTTATTTATTTCTTTTTTTTAAACTTTTATTTAATGAATATAAATTTCCAAAGTACAGAATATGGATTACAATGGCTTCCCCCCCATAACGTCCCTCCCACCCGCAACCCTCCCCTTTCCCACTCCCTCTCCCCTTCCATTCACATCAAGATTCATTTTCGTTTCTCTTTATATACAGAAGATCAGTTTAGCATACATTAAGTAAAGATTTCAACAGTTTGCTCCCACACAGAAACATAAAGTGAAAAATACTGTTTGAGTACTAGTTATAGCATTAAATCTCAATGTACAGCACTCTAAGGACAAAGATCCTACATGAGGAGTAAGTGCACAGTGACTCCTGTTGTTGACTTAACAAATTGACACTCTTGTTTATGGCATCAGTAATCACCCTAGGCTCTTGTCATGAGCTGCCAAGGCTATGGAAGCCCCCTGGGTTCACTGACTCTAATCATATTTAGACAAGACCATGGTCAAAGTGGAAGTTCTCTCCTCCCTTCAGAGAAAGGTACCTCCTTCTTTGATGACCCGTTCTTTCCACTGGGATCTCACTCACGGAGATCTTTCATTTAGGTTTTTTTTTCCCCAGAGTGTCTTGGCTTTCCATGCCTGAAAAACTCTCATGGGCTTTTCAGCCGGGTCCGCATGCCTTAAGGGCTGATTCTGAGGCCAGAGTGCTGTTTAGGACATCTGCCATTCTATGGGTCTGCTGTGTATCTCACTTCCCATGTTGGATCATTCTCTCCCTTTTTTATTCTATCAGTTAGTATTTGTAGACACTATTCTTGTTTATGTGATCCCTTTGGCTCTTAGTCCTATCATTATGATCAATTGTGAACAGAAATTGATCACTGGGACTAGTGAGATGGCATTGGTACATGCCACCTTGATGGGATTGAATTGGAATCCCCTGGTATGTTTCTAACTCTACCGTTTGAGGTAAGTCAGCTTGAGATTTTATTTATTTCTTTCAGATGCAGAGTTAGAGAGGGAGAGACAGAAATGTCTTCTGTCCACTGGTTCACCCCTGCCCCCATGGCTGCAATAGCCAGAGCTGAGCTGATCCGGAGCCAGGAGCTTTTTTTGGGTCTCCCACGTGGCTGCAGGGACCCAAGCACTTGGGCTGTCTTCCACTGCTTTGCCTGGCCATAGCAGAGAGCTGGATAGGAAGAGGAGCAGCCAGGATACAAACTGGTGCTGCAGATGGAGGCTTAGCCCACTGGCGCCACAGCGCCTGCCCCGAGCTCTCCTTCTTTCCAATAATTGCAAGGCAGGTATAGGCTAATGCTATGGTGGGCTGGCTGGCTCTTCCCCTGGGATTGGGCAGCTTCCAGAAACGGAGCAAACAGAATGAGGACAGATGATGATTGTTTACAGACCTTGCCTCTACTGTTGAGAGACAGTGTTTTTTTCTTCACACTGTTTGTTGAACTTAGTGTAGGGTTAACCTTACAAGTATTAAGTAAAGTGAAAATAGATGTTTGTAAAAATTAAGAGTGGGGGCCGGCGCCGCGGCTCAATAGGCTAATCCTCCGCCTTGCGGTGCTGGCACACCGGGTTCTAGTCCTGGTTGCCCCTCTTCCAGGCCAGCTCTCTGCTGTGGCCAGGGAGTGCAGTGGAGGATGCCCAAGTGCTTGGGCCCTGCACCCCATGGGAGACCAGGAGAAGTACCTGGCTCCTGCCATCGGATCAGCGCGGTGCGCCGGCCACAGAGCGCCGGCCGTGGCAGCCATTGGAGGGTGAACCAACGGCAAAGGAAGACCTTTCTCTCTGTCACTCTCTCTCACTGTCCACTCTGCCTGTCAACAACAACAAAAAAAGAGTGGGAATAGGAGGAGGAGAAAGAAGGGTTGGAGCATGGGCAGATGGGAGGGAGGGTAGGGTGAGAAGTATCACTATGTTCCTAAATCCGTACAATTGAAATATATGACACTTGTATTTTAAATAAAATTTTTAAAAACGGCTCTGTGACTCCTCTGTTTACTAAGGAGGTGGATGTACAGCTCATGGCTGGTGAATGTCACACGTTTTTCTTCCTCTGCACTCTTCTTGCTGCCCAGTTCTACCCTCCCATCCTCCCCTGCAGTGGGATGAGGATTTCTCAAGAATGCTGAACACTGAATTTCTTTATACCCTCATCGTAGAATATTCTGATGCATCAGTATTTGGTACTGTTTTGCATGTTTTAAAAATTCATCTAAATGGCATCGTATTTTATATCGTCATTTGCAGCCTACTTATTTTACTCAGCCTGTACTTCAACTTTATTTGGGATATTTCATCCAGTGTTACTTAACTCTTCTAAACAGTGATGTGCAGCATTACTGTATAATAGAGTTTGGTTCCTAAAATGCAGCTAGAAATGGCTTAGATGGAACATTTTTATATGTGTCAAATTAATGTATAATTGTAACATAGTAACTATTACATGAATTTGTTTTATTTCAGGTTTAATGTAACATACCCTCTCATGCTTCATCCTGCTCCTTCTCCCCAAATCATCAACAGTAGAAAAAGAGGAGGAAGACATGTCAGGACACAAATGGTAAGTAATCCATGATCTTTTCTCAACAGGAAGAGGCTAGTGAAAGTGAAAAATATGTAGTTTATGATTAATAAATTTCTACTGAATGGAAAAATCAAGACACATTAGCAGTAAATAACCTGTTAGTCCCTCTCTGATGTTAGGTATAACCACATTCAGTATATCTACTAATGATGCTGTGAAAACAAGAAATATTATAAATTGTATTTAATGTGTTTCAAGAAATTCACTTATGTGTAACTTTTGTCTGGGGAATCTAATGATGGTTTTTCTCCCCACCGTTTTCTCTAACGTAATGAGTTGATGCATTTTTATTACTACCTTATTCATAGCTTATGCCATTAGAGATAGGAGGGAGTTTTATGTAGGGCAACTGTAAAGTCAGGAATGACTCTGCAGCCACACAGTACTCACGCTTGTTGATTTGTAGTTGACTTCAGTCATTGTGGACATTCAGAAGCCAGTTGTGCAGTGTTAGTGCTGACTTTCATATCCCTACAACACTCCCAGGCTGCAGGGGAAGCTTCGTCTGAGTCCTAGAGCTCTTCAGGTCGTCTTCCTGAACCTTTTCCCCACCAGCAAGCACGTCCTTGTCAAATTCATTTTTTCAGATATACAGTAAAATATAATAACGACTATGCTTTCCAACCCTCCCCTCTCAGTGGAGAAGCAACCGGCCCAAGTTCCCTGTAATATCACATGTCAGACTCCAAAAGAATTATTGTGTGTCTTACACCATTAATGCCTTTAAAAAGTAATTAATAAACAGCCAAGGGGTTTAATCACCCAAGTATCCCCATTTGACAGTTATCTAAGAGTTGTCGGACTTTTCTTTTAAATGGTTCCATCTTGCCTCATTATGACAATGGCCTGTCTCTATCTTTAGAGCCTTATAATGGCTGTTGTAGCCCAGCAACAGGCTCAGGGATATCCTGGCAACAGGCTCAGGGAAGTAGGTACTGACTTGAGAGACCAGAAGCCCCAAGCAGGCTCTCTCCCAGACTCTGTCTCCCTTTTACTCCACAGCTTGATGGTGAAATGAAGGAGCTACAGGAGTGCATTGAAATGAGTGCTGGATTGGCGTTGAGAGGTCTGGAGTTTAATCCTGTGTGACTTAGGGCAACGTTCTTAATGTTTGGAAACCTGAGACTCCTTATTTGTTAAATGACAGGGGGTAGGAGGTATACAGTAGGCATCTCAAGTCTCTCCCTTTCTCCATATAGAATCTGTTGGTGTTAATCCATGAACTTCGGATTTAAAAAAAGATGCAGTACAAAGAAGACCCTCCTATGCCTCACTCTTGAGAACCTAATTGCCCTGAAATAACTGTAGTCTTTGAGGTTTGTGTGTCCTGTAGATTTTTCTTAGTATAAATGCTAAGTAGACTTTCCTCTCATGTGAATTCATAATTTCTAAGCAATGCAGAAAAGATATACAGTAGACTATGTATTTGTGCTGCTCTCTCCAACAATGACCATTATTAAAGAAGTCCTATGAGTAGCTTTCTAGCATCTTAGGAATAAATGTGTAAATTGAACGTTATAAACTTAATGACATTGAAAATGAAGGGAAGAATAACTCATCAAGTTTTAAGACAGCCGTATTTTGATATAGTTGTGTAAAAGGCTCATGTTTTAGAACACAAGTGTGGCCAATGTTGAGTGGTGATGGGCACATGACTGGATGCCCCATGTGGGATTTGCAGTGGTAACTCCAGAGTGGAGGGAGAAGGAGAACTCCAGACAGCAGGGCCGGAGAGGAGCAAACTTACCATCTGTGGTTGAGGTGCTCGGGTCACTCTTAGAGAAGTCCACTTCATTCTCCGTTTCATGTCTAACTTCTGTGTGTACTTGGTGATTCGCTCTTCACTGAGGATGGCCTCTTATCTCTATTTTAAGTATTTATGTTGAAACATTTAAAGTTTTTAACATCAGAAACCTGTTATCGATTGAGAGTTGTCTGATTGCAGTAAGAACACAGTGTGGGATCTACTCAAGTTTTCAGTGCACAGAGCAGTGTTGTTAACCGTAAGCACTGTGTTGTATGGCAGGTTTCTAGGACTTAAGGTTGCATAGCTGAAACTTTGTTCCCATTAAGGAGCAACTCCCCATTTCCCCTAACCTCGCACCTCTGAGAGCCACCATTCTACGCTCCAATTCCATCAGTCTCTTTTAGATGCCTCTGTAACAGATTTTACCAAGCTGTTTCCCAGCCCCTTGTCTCTACTTTGCTGCCAGCCTGTCAGTGTGGGCCATGGTGCAGTGTGGATGCATGTTCAAGGCCAACTTTATCTTATCTGACTCCCTGGGGGTGTCTCAGGCTGGTCACCACACCTGGCGTGGTCTCACTTTCTCTACTTCTAACAACCTGTTGACACTTAAATTCTCTGCTGAATTTCTCACTTTTCTGAGGAGCAATGGAATGTCCTCACTCTAACTTTTAAGGTTTTAGAGTAAGTTGGTATAATGACCATTTAAGAAAGCACTTACATGTTTATGAATGTTGACGATGTAAATGGAAAATAGGTTTAGATAAATACTTCCATACCAAATCATGGTGATCATAGGAAAGTCAGCAGTAAAATAGCTCTTTGATTATTTCTTTGCAGTTATTCGTGGGATTTCCAGGATCGATATGTTCAGGATAAATCAGTGGTAAATAAGATGCAGCAGAAATATTGGGAGACGAAGCAGGCTTTCATCAAAGCCACAGGGAAGAAGGAAGATGAGCATGTTGTCGCCTCTGATGCAGACCTGGACGCCAAACTAGAGGTGAGATCTTTATTCTCAACCCCAATGCAGCCACTTTGCTGCACTTCATTTGGAAATGAGCAAAATCTAGCATCATATCCATGCAATTCCAGCATATTTTTTGAAGCCTACACATTCTCAAATAATGACCAGCATGCATCAGTAACTTTTTTTTTCCCCAAACACTTAGTTGGGTTGCATGGCATGTGGTAAATTCTCAGTAATTGTTGATTGAAGGAAAATAATACATCCCTAGAGCTGGTGCTGAGATCTCAGGAATCAGCATTGAAACTGTTTCAGAAGACTAGGCTTAAGCAAATGTTTACTTAAAAAAAGACATAGTTAAATTATCTTGGAAAGTAGAGTCCAATATGGTTGATACTGAAGTGTAGAAAATTGTACAATGAATTAACTCAGATGTTTCGTCAGAACAGTTAGTAATACAGTAAGCTGCATTTGTATCTGGTTGATCTAGAGTGTTGATACAACTGGTGGAAGGTCCCCTAACCCCTGACTTGATGGACATTTCATCCGATAGTTTAGATCTAAATTTTGAAAGTGTAATTATCACTTCCTGTAGAATAAGGCACCGAGGGGATTAATGGTTTGGTAAGAATTCCAAATGATCTCAAAGTTTAATCTGTAAACTAAAGTTAATGAGCTGAACATTTAATGTGGCTAAAAGAAAAAGTTCAGGCTCTCCCAGAAGGATGGGCAGGGCAGTGGGAGCCATGATTACCCTGGACCAGAGGGGGGAAATGAGACGACCTCACTGCCGAGGAAGGGCTCCCGTTCTGTTCATCCGAGGATGGAACCGGAGCCAGGAAGAACTTGCTAGTGCTTAGACTGCCCAGTGAGAGATGGGCTGCCGTGGAGACCTGTGGGTGCCCTGCCTGATCAGGTAGAGCTGGGCTACCTTTCCACCAACTACCTGTTAAAACCATGGGAGAACTACCTAATTTCTCTTATCCTTGTTTTCTTATTGTAACTGGTATGAAGATTAAATTATGCCATTTGGCAATGGGGAGTGTTTATTGAGTGCTTATTATGTCTAGGAGGCCATGAAGAACACCTTCCATACATCATCTCTAATACCTAGCAAAGCTCCTCACTTAGCTGGCCCCTGCCTCCTCTTTCCAGCAACACTTACCCTACTTATCCTGTCCTTGCCTCTCGGTTCGTGTCTTAGCCTAAGGCCACTCTGAAAAGCCTTCCCTGAATATGCTATTTAAGGTTCCTGCCTACGCAACCCCTCACACCACCCCTGCTCACTGCCTAACATGGCCTTGTTTAGTTTTACTGATGGTACTCATTGTCTTAACTGTTGACTTGTTTTCCTGTCTTCCCTGTACTATAAGGTCAAATTCCACGTTAGCTTTATTTACCACTGTATCCCCAACCAGTAGGTACTAACTGGAAAAGTATACATGATGGTACAATCCATGTTGGTTCTCAACCATTTCCTTCTTTCTGTAATGGGAAATTTTGAAATTGAAGCTGGATTTGACAAGGGTGTTCCGAAAGAGTTTCCTGCGATGGGGAAAGATAGAACCTAGAAGCATCTGTTCTTTCTTTTGTATTCTAAATGCAGTTTAAATTATTATAAGTTATACATGCTCCTTACATCTCTAAGCTTTCTTCTTAACAACCTCGTCAACATAAGAATTATTTGAAACAATTTAATTTGTGACTTACTAGTACATTGAACATATTTCTTTTTTTTCTTTTTTTTTTTTTTCTTTTTTTTGACAGGCAGAGTGGACAGTGAGAGAGAGAGACAGAGAGAAAGGTCTTCCTTTGCCGTTGGTTCACCCTCCAATGGCCGCCGCGGCCAGTGCGCTACGGCCGGCGCACCGCGCTGATCCGATGGCAGGAGCCAGGAGCCAGGTCCTTTTCCTGGTCTCCCATGGGGTGCAGGGCCCAAGCACCTGGGCCATCCTCCACTGCACTCCCTGGCCACAGCAGAGGGCTGGCCTGGAAGAGGGGCAACCGGGACAGAATCTGGTGCCCCGACCGGGACTAGAACCTGGTGTGCTGGCGCCGCTAGGCGGAGGATTAGCCTAGTGAGCCGCGGCGCCGGCCACATTGAACATATTTCTATGTAGCCTCTTGCAGCAACACTGTTACTGAGTTGTAGTTTGATCAAATAGCTGCTGTCCTAGGCCCATGGCGTGTAAAGGACTTAGCTGTGATTCTTGATTTTACAAATGATAAGGTTTCTGTGGCAGACATGTTAACACTGATGACAACATGTATAAAGAGAGTGGCTTCCATCAGTGAAAAATACAAAAATGATGTGCGAACCGTGTGGATGTGTTCTGACATGGAGATATCCCAAGGAGGCTGGCTGGTGCACTGAGAACTTTTGTCCTGCTGCCACAGAAAACTTGTGTGCCGAGTTAGAATAGCTGGATTCTGTTGCAGCCTGTCAGGAAGTTAATATAGAAACGGTGCGCTAGGTTTTAATAGTTGTCTATGCAGCTTCTTAATGCCATCATTTTCTCAAAAACCAGCCCCGCAGTCAAGAGCCAGCACAGTAGACCTATGGTGGCAAAGTCGTTCAGTGGCTGCCGGGGACAGGGTGGGCTGACCCCATGGATAGGGTGGGCTGACCCCATGGTGGAAATGTTTATCTTGTGGTTATGTGAGAGTGCACAATTGTGGAAACCCATGGGACTGAACACTCCAGAGCTGTGTAATTATTGCATTTAAGACATTCCTCAAGTTTTTAAAAAGATTTATTTATTTATTTGAAAGGCTGAGTTACAGAGAGAATGAGGGAGGGAGGGAAGGAGAGGAAGAGGAAAAGAGAGAGAGAGAGAGAGAGAGGCCTTCCCATCCACTGGTTCACTCCCTAAAAGGCCACAACAGCTGGAGCGGTGCCAGTCTGAAGCCAAGAGCTTGGAGCTGCTTCTGGGTCTCCCACGTGGGTGCGTGCAGGGACTTAGGCCAAGGACTTAGGCCATCCTCCACTGCTTTCCTAGGCCATAGCAGAGAGCAGCATTGGAAGTGGAGCAGCCAGGACTTGAACCGGCGCCCATGTAGGATCACGGCATTGCAGGCGGCAGATTTACCTGCTGCGCCACAGTGCTGGCCCCGGCATTCCTCAATTTTTAAGTGACTGGTGAGAACAGTTCCTAAGTGTGCTTTTAGAGGCCCCACCCCCACCCCGGTGCCTGCACACTGGCATTACGTGAAGTGGTTTGCAAACAGGATAGTTGCCAAGGAACATACGCAGACTGCTGATTCCCTCTTGTTGTTGTATGGTGCCTGGCAGTCTTTTTTTTCTTTCCAAATAGGTAAAGGATGCAATTTAATACAATTGGAATTAGTAAGCATGTATCCCTTATGATCAGGTGTTATCAAACATTCCTAGGAAATGTTTTCTAAGATTTGTTTTATTTCTTTGGAAGGCAGAATGACAGGGAGAGACAAAGAGAGAAAGAAATCTTCCATCTACTGGTTCACTCCTGAATTGGCTGCACTGGCAGAGGAAGCCAGGAGCCTGGAACTCTATCTGGGTCTCCCACATGGGTGGCATGGGCCAGAGCACTTGGGCCATCTTTTGTTGCTTTCCCAGGCCCATTAGCAAGGATCTGGATTGGAAGTGGAACAGCCAGAACTTGAACTGGCACTCTGGTATGGCATGCTGGTGTGCAGGCGTCAGCTTAACCTGCTGAGCCACAACCCCGGCCCCTTTAATCTTCTAAGAATGGCCGCTTGCATCCAGTTTTCTTAGATGATTTGGTCAGATTGATAATGAAGTAGTCATTTGTTTTCACTTAAATCTGGAAGTGCTTTTTGACACCAGAGCATAATTTGTATGACACCGTGGCCAGGACACTAGAACGGAGGAAGAGGGAAATCTTTGCCCTGTCTCAGGAAGTGGCTCTGCAGAGCCACAGTGTGTGTCTTCTAGATTTTCTTTCTTTCTTTTAAATTTTATTTAAGAGAGAGAGGAAGAGAGAGATTGTTCTTCTGTCTGCTGGTTTACTCCCCAAGTGCTTGCAACCGAGGGGAGCCCAGAATTCCTTCCTAATTTTCCACATGGGTAGCAGGGCCTCAAGCACTTGAACATCACCTCCCACCTCCCAGGTTGTCCATCAGCAGGAAGCTGGAATCAGAATAGAGCTGGGACTTGAACCCAGACACTCCAGTATGGGATGCAGGTGTCCCAAGTGGCGTTTTAATTGCACCAAACACCACCTCCTGCCAGTTTTTCTGTTGGGCACAAGCCCTGGTTTCTGAGTTATAGGACAGAGGGTGGAAAATGTATGAAGTTGGTTCTGACTTTTCTGGAGCTGTGTTGGTTTTTAAATGAAAGAGCAGGATAACCACGAGTTAAAATCTAGTTGGGCTCCCCTCAGTTCAGCCCCGCCTGCCTTCCCCCGGTTGCCTCTTGTGCAGTCAGAGCGTGGCCTTCACGTCCCTCACTGTGTGTTTTATGAAGTCATTGGGTAAATAAGGAGTGATGGGGACTGCCAGCTGAACACGTTTCTACCAGATGCCTCCTAACAGCATTCAGCTGACTGATTTTTGTTTTCTTTATCCAGTTGTTTAAGCATGTCATAAAATGCATTAAGGGTCACATAATAAGTTAATATCATCTTTTAAATATGAAACTTAATTGGCAGATCCTCCATTAAAAAAGAAAAGACAGCAAGTGGTAAAAGGAGTAAATTTGATTATGAATGAATATTGGATCTCTGGTTTACCAAGTCCCCTAATTGTACCCTTCTCTTAGGATTTCTGTTTTTCAGCTATGGTTTCAATAGTCTGGAGAAAATACAATTGTTCTGCAGACCTTAATTTATATCACAGAGAAATGAATTCCAATAAATATAGAATGATATTCTGTGGTGATAGTCTCTGTATGTTCTACCGTGTAAACCAGGCACACTTAGATGATTTTGGTTTTAGAGGGAAATTCAAACATTCTGGTTATGTATGACGTAATTCTTGCCTTATTTTGCCACTGTCTTATTTAGCATTTTGTTTGTGTTTTTGTTATAGCTGTTTCACTCGATTCAGAGAACCTGTTTGGACTTGTCTAAAGCAATTGTACTCTATCAAAAGAGGATATGTTGTAAGTATGCTCAAAGTATGAGTATTAATCAGAAAGTGAGAAATGGCTGAGTGTTTGGCTATAATATGTCATTTAATATGATTAGGAAACTAGGCATGTTTGTCTTTGCTTTTGAAAGGTAAGGAAGGGGATCTCTGACAATTTTACTAATAGTTTACATAGGCTATTTAGTTTTTAAAGAAGATAAATATGTCCAAATAAATATGGACATACCATTTATTTTCCAAATGATGGAATAATTCTATTTTATATCTTGGACTTTTTTGAGTTACTTTTATTTGATTGCCTAAGCTCCCTTCTAGTCAATTTTGTTCCTTTTACAATGGTCAGAGAGAGAGGATGCATATAGTTAATTGATGGTGTTCTGCTGATATCACTTCTTTGTGAACATTTCTTGGGTATCGGCTTAGCATGGAGCAAGAGTTTCAGATGGTTATTCTGTCTTAAAAGTCTTACCAACAATTATTTCTGAAATACAGATATCAAGTTATATATTACTATGTTCATAAATTTCCATTTGTAGGTCATTTTAATAGTCATTTCTATATTTATGAGGCTAGACTTTGGGAAGTCCTATTGCTGACTACTGCCAAAATGCCTTCTGATAATCACAAACTGGCAATTTGTAATTTTTCTACCTTCATAATACTATGTTAAGACAACTATTTGGAGGAAGTTCAAAAATCATAGAATTTACATGCAGGATTTTGTAAATTATGTGATAATGTTTACCAAGTGTTTTAACTAAAACTCCAGGTCCCTAACTCCAGAGTCCTGAGCTAGGGGCAAATGAAGAAACGGGACCCGTCGCCCACCACTGCTGTGTCCCGCACCCCACCAGCCTCACACCCTGGCCCACTGTGCCTCCTCAGTAGTTCTCACTTTTCCCTTCCTTTCTCCATCTTCTCTGCCCCTGCTGTTGTTCAGGCCACTGCTGTTCCCCTCCCACTATAGTAGCTGAATCAGCTGCCTGTCTGTTCTCCTTGTCTCCACTTCTGCTTCCTCCAACCCATTGGCTACACTGCAGTCAGAGTACACTTTTAAACCTGATCAGACTATTCCTTTAGTTAAACCCAGTGTTTGGAGGACTGACTTACTGGCAAATTGCCCTTTCTGTACCTACAGTACTCCTAATAGACACCATGAGATGAATCATTTTCTCCTTTGTGGGAGAAAAGAAAAGATGTTAGAAAGGTGTGATTTATTTTTTAAATCTTGGGAAGTTCAGTGTGCCCTGTTTGCATGAAACTATGCATACTGTAAAGAAAGGTGGGTATTTGTGAGATTTCTGTAAACAGTGGTTCTCTGAGCAAATATTATCCGTCCCTTGGATCCACCCCAGATTAGTTACTGGAGTAATGGTTGAGCACCACCAAGGTAAGGTATGGGCCTACAACAGAGTCTCCACCCTTGAAGTAGTCATCAGTGGTGCCGGCAGAGCCTGGCTGTGGGTTGTGGCTAAGCCCTTTTGTGTCTACCCACTAGGCTCGTGTGAGCCCTCACAGTGGGAGTGAGTAGAAGGAGCTGTGCACTGCTTGGACTTGAAACAGATCCCAACTTTGATGGAGGACTAAAAATAGAGTGGTGGCTGTGAGGGTGTTGCTATGTAGCTGTCAAAGAGAGGAAATGAGTGAGTGATTTTGAGGCTATAATCTTCCGTAGAGGGAGCAGAGCACAGAAGCCTTTCTATGGTGCTGCCCTTCTTGCAAGAACAAAGGGGTGCACCCCTCACACATACACTTGAATTTGAAGTCTGCCCATTGAGCTAGGGAAGTTCCCTAAGGATCAGCCAGGAACTAAGAAGATGGAATGTCCGTGGGAGGGTTGGACAGGGAAGGAGAGGGAGTCATCAGGGAAGGAGGGAACCGTCCCTCGCTAAGATGCCTCCAAATACTTCCTGACTTTTAAAATCACAGTAATGTTTCACATGCTTGGCAAGTCCTTTGACTCAACCAGGCTGTGAGAGAATCCGAAGTGGAATACAGACAGTGTCAAGTGAACCTAATTACATTGCAGGTGAATGGCATCACCACCCTGAGAGAATGGAGAAGGACGAACTAATCTCAGCAGTTTCTGGAAAGACATTTTTTATGAGAAACTAAAGTTAAACACAAAGTGAGCTGTACGAGAAAGCTGCACTTTGGTTAATAAGTTTGCTTCTCTAAGGGTGAGGATCAGCAATTCTGAAACTGTTCAGGCGCATACTGAGATTGAGCACGTTAGTTAATATGCTGTGGCTAACGAGAGCCTGCTATCTATAGCAGAAAGAGCTTACAAATAAAGGGAGAAGGCTAGAATGAGTAGCCTGGTGATACACTGACGTCACAGGTCTTGATACGAAATCATCTTTTTAAATATTTGTTCAGATATGTAGATATGGCTGTCATATGCGTGGGTTGATGTACATCGGTGTGTTTCCTGCCTCTGTCCACTGGGATGGACCCAGATCTTGGTTTCTACATATCCTTCTCCAATACAAGGAAGGCAGCTGGGAGAAGTGATTGCTCCCAGCGGTAGGGCTGGGAAAGTTTAAGTTGGGCCTGCGGTGTCTTGCAGAACCGGCATGTAAGCAAGTCCTTGAAACAAGATGAGGGCATGTTGAAAGGACAGGAGCAGACCTGTGGTCAATAATGGTGTAATATGAGCAAGCAAAATAAATGATGGTGCTGTTGAGTTGTAACTTATAGGATAAAATAAGTATCCATTAAGTCTATATGTAGATAGATAGATGACAGCCCTTCCTTATAAAATAACTCCAGTTAATAAATATAGAAAGGATGAGGGAGCTACAATATGACCATTAAACAAACGCCAAGTGAGATTCATGGCAGGTGAGATTCACTAAGACTGCCACAACTAGTGTGTGAAAGTTTGGGGAGAAACTGGATGTTCAGAGTCTCATGTACTCCCTCCCCCACCCAGTTGTTTAATAATTGTAAAAGGAAAAATGTAACTTTCAGTGGAGGAGCCCAGCAAACACCAGCTTCACCAAGTGGTGGAGGTTCCATCACCAGTGATTCTGTGTGTTGACACAGAGACCCTGATATGATGTCCTGAAGAGGACACTTCCCCCAGTGCTGTGTCTCCCCCAGACCCATAATTCCAGGCCTCTTCAAATGTGCCACACGCAGGAAAGATAAGACTGAGAAACTGTCACTAATTGAAGGAGACAAGGGAAACAGTATCTGAGTGCAAAGTGGGGTCCTGGAATGGGTCTTGGACCAGAAGAGACATAAATGAGAAAAGTGGTAAAATTCACACAAAGTCTACAGCTTAACTGACAATATTGTACCCATGTTAGTGTCCTGGTTTTGGTCATTGTCCCATGATATAAATATTTAGGGAAAGCTGGGGAAGGATGGCGTGGGGTCCATATAGTGTCTGTAATTTGTCTGTACATCTAATGTATTATGTCAAGTAAGATGTTAGAAAAAGAAGGCTTAAGGAATGTAAGTTGATTCATATTATCCCCCTTCTTTTGAAAACCTCCAGTGGTGCTTAAATCAGAATCAGACTCCCATACTGTGGCTTCTGAGTATGACACCATCTGGCCCCAACTCTCCTCTTCACCTTTTCCCTTGCCCAGCTGCCTTCTTTTTTTTTTTTTAATTTTTATTAATATAAAGAGAACAGATCTCATTTATTTCATAGGTATGATTCTAGGAAGATAAGTATACCCCCCCATTCTCTCCCTTCCTCAAACCCCTCCTTCCTTCCTTCCTTCCTTCCTTCCTTCCTTCCTTCCTTCCTTCCTTCCTTCCTTTTTTGTCTTTTAAGCATAATTTCAATCCACTCTGCAATCACAGGCTCAGTGCCAGCCCCTGGCTCCTGGTCTTTCCCCTGCCTGGAATGTCCCTGTCCCGATAGTCTCAAGAGCGGCTCTGGCCATTTGGAGCTTCGTTTTAATGGTCCCCTGCTCATGGAAGCCCTTTCCTGGCCACCCCAAGGCAGCTACCATTTACCTTCTCTTATTCTTCATTTTTTGTGGCCGCATTCAGCATCCTTCCTCTTGAGTTTTATGTTTGTGATCACTACTTTATTTTTATCTCCTTTTGCTTGAATGTAAGTGCAGGGATTCCTGTGTCTGGTTCATCACTGTATTCCCCATGGCAAGAGTAGTGCCTGGCACAGAGTGGATCCTCTGTAAATCTTGCTGAGTGAGTTAATGCTGTCAGGCTAATTGGTTGCATGGTTCTTTGGTTGCTTTTTTAGAGGCACATCTGAACATCCAATCAGCAATTAAATATGAATAAGTTTTTGTCTCTGAATTAAGTCCGCATGAAGTGCAACTTTACAAGTAGAAAGTTTTGAGTTATCTGATGCCTGCCTTGCACCTGAATCTTAAGCGCCTATAAATTGCTCTCAGTGTGTGAATTTTTTGAATTGACGAATGACCATCCCTTCTCAGAAAAACCAGCCTTGGGCCTGATGGAGCTCAAATTTCTGTGCAGTGCCTCTAAGTAGCACTGCCAATCGTCAGAGGCAGCACTTAGAGTGAGGCCTGTTTGCCAGCCTAGGTTTAATCCTCAAGTGCAGAAAATGTGCAAAAATTATTTTAAAATGCTTCCACCTACTCAGGCTTATTTGGGAAACAGCACAATTCACCAGCTGTGTAACCATTCAGGTACTGTGAATTAGTTTCTTCCTGGCCTTAAGCTAAGTGCATTCATTTGTGTGTGACTCGTGGCTTCAAGGTATGAAAGGTGACAGTGGCCTCATGCCATGCTGAACAAAAATAAGAAAGTGCTCCCTATAGGGAAAGCATCATCATGAAGTTGAGTGAGTCATGTGTTACTCAATGGAGAGGAGAAGGAACAGGAAATATTAAGAAACAAAAACCACATAATTGGAGGAATTTTTTTAGGTTACATACACCAACCATGGTTTAAATATGAAATAACACTGTATAGTAAAATAAAATGCATAGGGTAACAAGCAAAACTTGTAGTCAATTCAACTTCACAAGCATTTAATTAGTGCCATAAATAGAAGATTTTATGCTTGTCCTGGGGAAAAAAAGTTTGGGTGAGGTCCTGAATTGGAAAGCTAGTTCTGTGGGAGCATAGAGAAGTGGCCACACATACACACACACACTCACACTTGCACACACACACTCACACTTGCACATGCACACACATACTTGCACACGTGCACACACACATGCACGCACACATATGCACACACACACACACTCAGAAGCCTGTGCTGCCACAGTGAGTGCTCAGTCACCCACCTGAGGGTGCTGCTGTCCAGACATCGGGATCAGCGACCTCACACAGGAAGCAGTGTTTGAGCGGGCTTTTGATTGACCGGTGAACTTAGTTTTTTGAGAGAGAAAAGAGGAAGGGGCATCGTTTATCTCTCAGGAAAAGTGGATTCTAAAGACAACTCTTGGCTGTGCCTTCCCAGGGGACGGATGAAGAAGGAGGCCTGGTGGCTGTAGCTGTCACCTTGGATTTGTGGTTGCTGGCCAGGCTTCTGCGGGCCTTGTTGGAGACGCTGTGTCAGGCAGGAACGGGATGCCTTCTGAAAGAAGCCTGCATGGTTCACAAGAGCAGACGAGAATCCCAGTAGCATTTAGAAGCAGTTCCAAATGAAGCGTGAATGTGTCAGAGCAGAAATGTGACATAAAAGTAGTGGTCCAGAGGATACTGATAGTGTGTGTCCAGAGGGAGAAAAGGCATTCCAGAAAGCTCAGTGTCTCTCTTGTGTCTATGCCCCAGCTGTTGGGATGTGTCTGGGACACTCCCTTGCCCATCATGTGTGTGGTGCATTGTATTTTATTCAAGAAGGCCCCAGTATAAGGAAAGTGTTTTGTTATTATGATGCTATGAGTAGTTTTGCATACACGAGGAGTACTTCAAAAAGTTTTTGGAAAATAGAATTAAAAGTTAATCTTATTTTGGGTGCGAAACAATTTCAAAATCCATGCAAATCATGGGTCTTCAAAAAGTTCCTTGAAAAGGGATATAATGGCAAAAGCATGCATGGATTTCAACATTTTTTGTGCAAAAAATAAACTATTTATTTTTTTAAGATTTATTTATTTACTTAAAGAGAGACAGACAGACAAAAATAGAGATCTTCCATCCATTGGTTCATTCTCCAAATGGCCACAATGGCAGAAGCTGGGCTGATCCATCTGAAGCCAGGAGCCAGGAGCTTCTTCCAGGTCTCCCATGTGGATGCAGAGGCCCAAGGACTTGGACCATCTTCTGCTGTTTTCCAGGCACAATAGCAGGGAGCTGGATCAGAAGTGGAGCAGCCGGGACTCGAAGCAGCACCATATGGGATGGCTGTGGCTTTACCCGCTACGGCTGCAGTGCTGGCCCCTAAATTTACCGTTTCACTCTATTTTCTCATAAGCTTTTTGCAGTACCTCACTTTCCTGAGGTTGTCCTGAAGAAACAATGCCCAAGAACTTAGGCACAACCAATTCCGATTTGCTTCCAACTCCATATTTTAAGAATCCAGCAAGTCGTCAACCTGGTGACTTACCTACCCTCACCCCTGGATCTTCACCCCCAGCCAAAATCCTGTGTCACAGATAAAAGTATTCAGACTGCTTTGCAACTGAGTAGAATGAAACTCAGAACACAGAGATCAAAAAGTCAGCAGGAGGGAATAATGGGAGGCAGCTAGCACTGCACTATAGGCAGCCACAGAGGATTCCCACAGTCACACTTGACAAACCCAACTCCTTTATTTCTGCTCGAAGCAGCACATTATGGGCTGGCTTTTCAGTCCAGAGGTCATTTTCTGGTTCTGATTACAGGGCAGCAAACCCACTGACAGATGTATTCAAGTGAACTTGATCTCACGTATTGTAAATGGAAGAGCAGCATGAAAGGTCATTGGCAGGGTGGGGGAGTGGGCATAGAACCTACCTTGTAGCCTGCCACTTGGATTTAATTTCATCGTGTCTGCCTCTGGAAGAGAGAGGACCTTGTGATTTGTCACTGTCGTTCTCTTTGTGAGCAGAATGCTATTGTTCATGGCTTCTTTTGGTCTTGTCTTCATCAGTCTTGTCTCAGGAAGAAAATGAACTGGGAAAATTTCTCCGATCCCAAGGCTTCCAAGATAAAACCAGAGCAGGAAAAATGATGCAAGCGACAGGAAAGGCCCTCTGCTTTTCTTCCCAGCAAAGGTGTGTGGCCTGCACCGGGGCTCCGTTGTGGGGTATCTGAAGAACCTGGGACTCACTGTTCGTGAAGGGGGATTGCTCAGTGTTCTTGTTCCTTAAGATTTATTTTCTGTATTTATGAGTCAGAATTACAGAGAAGGAGACACACATGCACACGTACATGCACGCTGAGATCTTCCTTCTACTGGTTCATTCCCTAACTGGCCACAACGGATGGGGCTGGGCCATGCAGAAGCCAGGAGCTACCTCCGGGTCTCCCACATGGGTGCAGGAGCCCAAGCACTTGAGCCATCCTCTGCTGTTTCCCAGGTCCAGTAGGGAGCTGGACTGGAAGTAGAGCAGCCAGGACATGAACAAGCACCCATATGGGATGCCGGCGCTGCAGATGGTGGCTTAACCCACTGTGCTCCAGCTCCTGCCCACTCCGTGTTCTTCAGACAGCTCTGCCTAAGAGCAACCGGCTAATCTGTGCTCAGTTCTCAGTTCAAACAGACAAGTTAAGCATCCCTTATCCAAAAATGTGAAATATGAAATGCTCTAAAATCCAAAACTTTTTGAGAGCCAACATGAAGCCACACGTGTCCATTTCCACCCCTGACCTCATGTGATGAGTTGCAGATAAAACACATGTGTACTGAAAATACTGTATTAAATTACCTTCTGGCTATGTGTATAAGGTATGCTATGGGAAGCATAAATGAATTTTGTGTGCAGGCTTGTTTTCCTTTCTCAATATATTCTCATCATCTACATGCAGATATTCCAAAACTGAAAATATTTGAAATCTAAAACTCCATTTTTGGAAAAGGGACACTCAACCTGTACTCAATTTTCTGATTAAAATAACATGCACGGGGCGGTGTTTGGCCTAAAAATTAAGATGCCAGTTCCAGATACAGTCTTACACATTCCATATCAGAGTCTGAGTTCAGTACGCAACTCCAGTTTGTGACTTCAGCTTCCTGCTAATCCTGACCCTGGGAGGCAGCTGTGATGGCTCAAGAAATTGGGTTCCTGCCACCCACATGGGAGACCTGGATGGAGTTCCTAGTTCGTGGGTGCTGTGGACATTTGAGGATTAAACCAACAGCTGACAGCCTTCTCTCTCAAATAAATAAATAAATTTTTAAACATTTAAGGATAACATGAAGGATTCTCCCTCTCCCCACTCCCGTTAATTTTTTAAAAAATATTTCATGTTCTTCTCTATGGAGGCATGCGGTATGCTGATCACTGAAGGCTGTCCTAGGCTTATATTTGACCTTTACCATTGCTGCTGTCAGTCTGGTCCCCTTCCCGCAGCCAATTCTAGCAGGTGCTCAGTGTCCCGAGATTGGAGGGTCCCCTCCCCCTGCTCGCCATGGGCCAATTCGCCTCAAGGAGGTGTTGTTGATGGTGTACTGGACTGTAAATGCAGAATCCAAGTCTGCATTTTTCACATGATCTCCTGTTGTTGATGGGCATTCAAGCTTGGGAAGCTGTGGTACAGGGATTGTGGTAGAGTGATGGCACTTCTATAACACAACCATTCACGACTCATTTTTATGTCCACGTTGGATAAAGCAGGATCCCCCCACACATCTACTCTTTTTTTTTTTTTTTTTGACAGGCAGAGTGGACAGTGAGAGAGAGAGAGAGAGGTCTTCCTTCTGCCGTTGGTTCACCCTCCAATGGCCGCTGTGGCTGGCACGCTGCGGCCGGCGCATCGCGCTGATCCCAAGCCAGGAGCCAGGTGCTTCTCCTGGTCTCCCATGTGGGTGCAGGGCCCAAGGACTTGGGCCATCCTCCACTGCACTCCCGGGCCATAGCAGAGAGCTGGCCTGGAAGAGGGGCAACTGGGACTAGAACCCTGTGTGCCAGCGCCGCAAGGCGGAGGATTAGCCTATTGAGCCACGGCGCTGGCCACACATCTACTCTTGATGTTTAAGCAAAGTGACTTTCCTTCTCTCTTCCTCCTGCCCCAACAACTAACAACCCTACTAAATGTCACCCATCAATATTAGGCAAGAATTGTACCTAAAGAAGGCTTGTAGTTGTCCAAAATATATCGGCTATAAAATCCCACTCGCTCAAGTTATACAATGTTTTCATCTGATTGTTTCTCCTTACTATTTTCCCTCTCTGGGCAAGGAGTGGATCATCATCATGCTACATGATCTGTCTCTCAAAGCACACATATAGCACCTTATGGTTTTGTGACCCAACCTTCAGATACAAACAGGAATAGTAAAAGAAAGCAACAAGGACAATGCGTGTGGTACTTGAAAGTATCACTACTACAAGTTTGCAAGCTGCATTATACCCGTCACTTAATGCAGTGTGGCCCACTTTGTGACATGGGAGATGGCCTTCTGCACGTGGCTTGGGTTTCCTGGTCCTCAGGTACTTGCTGGGCACGTGGAACCCCAACCTGGTCTCCTAACCATGGAGTAAGCAGCAGGATTACATGAACTTCTCATGAGGTCAACTCTCAAAGCTGAATGCACATGATTTAGGGCAGGCTAGAGTCATATACTTGCGGCACACACAGCATAATAGCATACAATATTATATACTAATTATTCAACACATTGCTATTTTGATCAGATGGCCTTAATACCTTTGTTTATTTCCATTCAGACTTTTTTAAACAAAACACCCATGGCACAGTCTTCCATTGCTTGGGCATGCCATGGTACATTTAACTTAAGCCCTCGGTTTACCTCCCGAGTCATTTTCCCCTTTCCTAATAAAAGGTAAGTGTCTTTGGAGTAAACCTTATGTCTTTGTTACTTATTCCCATTGGGTAGATTTTCATGAGTGAAAACATGGGCCAGTCTTGCAGTAAAGGTTGATACTTTTCACTAACTGAGGTTTTGCCTTGTGTAGACTCAATCCCTTATACCACGAGTGAGCGAGTTCTCTCACTTTTCTGGTTTTATTTAAAGCAAGCTAAAGGGGAAAATGTCACGTGATTTTCTGTCTTTTTCTCCTATCATTGTGTTGTTTAATCTCCCAAAATTTCTGTCCACCTTTACAACAGTCAAGTAAATCAAGGATAGTTCGTTCACAGTCAGTTGAGGGAAAGAGGCCGGATCCATGGGAAGCGAAAGCAGTCCAGAAATAATGATGAGCCTCAGGGTAGCAGTGAGACCTGATCCTCTCTTAGAATCCTCAGTGCACACACACTTCCATGCCGGGCTTGTTTTGCTGACTTATTTGGAGGTCCTTGCGCCGCTGCTCATTCCATTTGATAGACCCGAGTATTCCATGTGAGCCAATAGGATGAAGCACAGACCTACTTTATTGCACACCAGCGTGTATTGGGAGAAAGCCCGCAGCATGTAGGTCGGCAGTGTGGACAAGCTATTGTTATAGAAGTGCTCGATATTTAAAGCAACACTTTACAGACGAGAGGAAAACCGGGGGGAAAGAGTCAGAGGGAGTTTTTTCTTAAACAATGTGTTGACCCATTTGTAATCTTACGGTACGGCACACAAGGAAGGCGCTGCAGATGTTATTGGAACTGCCAAAAGCTGCCTTCGGCTCCCTGACACCATTTGTCCTCCCGCCAAGTAAGTCTGCATTTAGACTGAAACTTAAAGATTCACCTTATTTTTATCTTTTGCATCTGTGCCTTGAAACTTCGTGGAGGGCAGTGTGCTTATGAGTGTGACTCGGGGCCGGCGCCGTAGGGTAGCAGGTCAAGCTGCCGCCTGCAATGCTGGCGTCCCATACCATAGGGCGCCAGTTCATGTTCTGGCTGCTTCACTTCCAACCCAGTTTCCTGCTGTGGCCTGGAAAGCAGCAAAGGATGGCCCAAGTGCTTGGGCCCCAGCCACCCATGTGGGAGACCTGGAGGAAGCTCCTGGATTTGGCCTGGCCCAGCTCTGGGCCATTGAGGCCATTTGGGGAGTGAACCAGCTAATGGAAGACGGATCTCCCCCCTGCCCCACCCCTGTCATATAAAATACTAAAATAATAAAAAGTGTAATTCATCTGACATTGCTCCTTTGGGGTAGGACAATGGAAGAGGCAGTATTTGCCCTCCAAAATACTTTTTTTTTTTTTAAATCAAGTTTGATGTGCCTCAAACATTTTTAAAACAAATGACAGTGTGTCATGGCAATTATACCTGTTTTGCGCCTACTTTAGTGAACAGTACACATTCATTTCCAGCCTTAAAGGGCCAAGGCTCAGAGGAGCACGATGCGCGGAGTGACCAGGAATGGAAGTGGGAAATGGCCATGCCTTAGCCGTTCTCCAGTGATTTAGGAGGGATTCCAGCTTCAGACACGCGTCCTTTGCCCTGGCCCGAGACCACCCCCACCAACACTGATGGAGACAATTCCAGTGGTCCATGAACAGTAGACTAAGGAGTCGGTACCTAGGTACTCGGCTCTGGCTCACCCATCAATCCCCAGACATTTCATTTCAGTTAGTCCTCATCGAAGCTTGATGGAGTATCTCCCGCATTCCTGGCTCATGGGTGTTCAGATTGACCACACAGCTAGGATTCAGATTGCAAACTGGCTTAGTTTCAAGAACATGGCTTTGTCCTCTTGTCCAGGTTGGCCTTGCGAAATCCTTTGTGTCGATTTCACCAAGAAGTGGAGACCTTTCGGCACCGGGCCATCTCAGATACCTGGCTGACGGTGAACCGCATGGAGCAGTGTCGGACGGAGTACAGGGGGGCGTTGTTATGGATGAAGGACGTGTCTCAGGAGCTGGATCCAGACCTCTACAAGCAGATGGAGAAGTTCAGGAAGGTAGGAGGTTTCCTGAGGGTTGCCAGAGGGGGTGCCTGCTGGAAGGTGCCGAGCTGATTTGAATGCCTCTGGTAAAGAAGAAATATCTCAAAGGCACCAAGGATGCAATTAATCATCACTGGTGTCTTGTTATGTGACAATACCAATTAATGTGATCTGTAATTCTCTAAGGATGGGATAGAAGAGACAGCTGGAAATGGCTGGAATTTAGTAAATGCTTTTAATTGAAGTCAGATTTCCCCATAATGTGCACTTTTGGTAAGGTTGTCACTTTTGAATGCCTTTTCATGCATAACTAAAAACCAGGATTAGATCAAGTGAATCTGGAAGGTGAGAACAGACTACTGGGGTAATCGTTTTTAATTGCTAATGCATATGAAAATGAATAGAATAATGCTGCTCTTTTGTTTTGTGACAGGTTCAAAGCAGTGGGGTGTAGTTGTAGGATTAACTGGAGTGGCATTGACTCCATCTGCTGTAGGCCTCTCCAGAAATTTCTCTAAAAAATAAGTAGCCAAGGAGATGGGTACGTTCTTAAAATTTCCCCGAAATAACTGCTACACAGCAGAGGAAGACTCTTGCGTTTTTAATGATATTCTATCAATCTCGTCATTTGGATATTTTGTCATACAAGGGTATGTCCCACCACCAGGTGGCAGTCATGGACTGAACATTTATGAAAATGTAGCCAGATTTTTGTTGTGTACACTTGGTAGTTCTTTGTTTGGTCGACTGGATATATTTCAGGGTGCAAAAGGAAAAAAAATCAGCCAAATGTTAGGCTTGACATAATATTGTGTCAACTGCCTTATTCATTTCACATGATCTGTTTGTGATGAATGATTTTACTTAAAATTCCTAGATTTCTTTCTAAGCACGTTATTTCAGGGCTGTGGACGGGCCCGCTGGCTGTGTGTCGGGGTGGAGGGAAGGAGGGACCTTCTGTCACCCAGGAGGATGGCCTCAGCTCCTGGCTCCCATAGTAGAGCCACACAGGCTCCTTCCAAAGTTGGGTTTTTGCGTCAGTTTGCTTGTGAGCGGCGGGCATGTCCGGTTCCTTTCCAGCCGTGTGCTAGCAGCACCTAGTTTCTCAGGCCGGCAGTGCCTGTGCTTTATTTGGGGACTGGGGAGAACGGAGGGAGATTCATTCTCCCTCCCTCTCTCTCACTCTCTCCCTCTCTCCCTCTCTCTCTCCCCTGCACACCCCACCTGTAGGGCAGCACAGCACTGGTCCCGTTCTAGCCACTGCCTCCTGTAAGCCCCACAACAGCCACAGCACGTGTTCTATGTTTTACTTTTCAACATCCCTGTCTTTTTAAACTTAGATTTAAAATGTTAGGTTTTTAATTTAATGTTTTTAATCAGACATACAAAAATTGTACCTCTTTATGGGGTACTGCGTGAGGTTTCAGCACAGGTGTGTATCGTGCAGTGTGCGATAGAAATATATTTATCCCTTCAAACATTTAGCATTTCCTTATGGTAAAACCCCCCAACATTCCATGTTCTGATTTTTCTGTTTAAAGAGAAGGGTACGGTCTGCTACGTTTTCTATAGGCACCCAACTGTGCAGTACATCCCAGGATCCCCTTACTCCTGTCTCTGTAAACCAGTAGCCACTCTTCCCCTGCGTTTTAGTTTAGAGATGAGAAACATGATGCCCTTGCCAAATAAGTAACTCAGTGTCAGACAGGAAAATGAAAGTCAGAATCCTAGAAACTGTGCCTACTTATTTCTTTTTTCCTGCAAGAGAGACAAATAACAAAGTTGAAGAACAAGCCCAGATTGACAAAGGCGTTTCTTCCATAGCCACACTCTCCTGAGAGGTGTCCCCTCAGTGTCCACTGAGCTCCTCCTCTGTGTCAGGACATAGACGTGACCTGCAGTTATCCTAAGGCTGGCACTGGGAATGGGTGACTTCGGTTTGTTGGTGGCGGGGGTGGGGTTACTGACCACGTAAGGATGAAAACACAGAACCACGCCCTTCATCATTGGAATCCGATGCTGAAACACTACCCACCCTTGAGTGTCCTCGGCTGGTGGGTCTTGGAAAACCCTTGCCATGCTGACCAGAGTAACTAAGCTCAGCTTTTCTGCCCAATCTTGGATGTGCCGGGTTTGGTTTATGAGCTGAATGAGGTGTGCTTAGAATTTAGGGAAGCAGTACTTGGCAGGAAGGGAGAGCATTTTTTTTTTTAAAGATTTTATTTGACAGGTAGAGTTACAGAGAGAGGTCTTCCTTCCGTTGGTTCACTCCCCAGATGGCCGCAACAGCCGGAGCTGTGTCGATCCAAAGCCAGGAACCAGGCGCTTCTTCCTGGTCTCCCACGTAGGTGCAGGGGCCCAAAGACCTGGGCCATCTTCCACAGCTTTCCCAGGACATAGCAGAGAGTTGGACTGGAAGAGGAGCAACTGGGACTAGAACCGGCACCCATATGGGATGCCGGTGCCGCAGGCAGAGGATTAACCTACTGCACCATGGCGCTGGCCCCAGGAAGGGCGTTTTTAAGTGACCATAAGATGAGGCTGGATGCTCTGTGAGGACAGGAACCACACTGGCTCCTTTGTAGCCAGAAGCCTGGGACCAGTGCTGGGCCTGCCCCAGGTTAGCTCCTTGCTGTTGGCTGGCAAGACCCGGGGCCCCGAGGGGGCCGTGCCACAGTCAGGCCTTGCCCAGCTTCTGGGACGTTCCCTCGCTAGGCAGCTGGCCTGCTGACCATTTGGGAATGGACGGAGGTGGTTTTGCAGGTAAGAAGCATTGTCGTCAATTTGTGGCTGGTTGCCCTCTTTGCAATGAATTGCAGTTGTGGAGTTTTCTGTTCCCCTGGAGTTTACCCGAGGAATTTGGCTGTCAGCAAGCTGCAGGGTTCTGTCCCAGGTCCAGTGGGATTCCATCTGCCTCTCAGGAACGAGCTGCCCGACCCTGGGTCTCGGCTTCCGCGGGAGCCAGCAGCTGCGCGGCTCCTCCAGGGTCGCCCGGGGAAGGGGGTTGTCACTCTGCTCTGGACAGGCTGCCACCTTCATGTTGCACCTGCTGAATCCTGCTCTTTGAGTCCATACGTCCTGCTGGAGACCCGATTCTAATTCACACCCTGCAAAAGTGGTCCTTTTCTGAGTATGCACGCATTCTCTTCTCATTCATCCAGCCAGTGTCCTTGAGCCCAGCACATGCCAGGCAGTATCCAGAGAAACCAGCAGACAGAATCCCTGCCATCGCGTATTGTGCTGTTCTATCAGGTACAGCCCGTGAACAGACTGCATTACGATGCATGTGGTACCCCCAGAACACCATGGAGGGCTTCCTGAAGGAAGTGGCTTCCTGAGAAGATGTGCAGGGAGGATTTGGGAAGAGCGAGCAAGGCCAAAAGAGCAGAGTTCCAGGCTGAGGGACATTGAGGGGAAAGTAACAGGGCGCTGAGAAGCACGGTGTGGACGGTGACACGGGTCAGGGGACCATGGTGACCAGGCTCTGGGACTGGAAAGGAAAACAGGGGTGGACCGAGGGGCGGGGAGGGGAGGTTTGCAAACAACTCTGTGTGTTCTGAGCAGCTCACTCTGGTTGCCTTTCTGAGAAGGGACTGGAGGGGCTAGGCCTGGAGGTGGGCCCCACACACCCTGCTGTGCCTCGTGGTGGGTGCGCAATGAAGAGGGGAGGACCCAGGATTGGCACGCTGCTGCACCACCTGAGCGACAGGGCTCTTCCTTGTTTTTAGAAACTGACAGCATCGGTATAAACAAGTCACGCGCAAGTTCAAGTGTTGTTTCCCCTCCACCCGAGCTTTCCCCAGAAGGCAGAGAAACCTTTTCACTAAGCACACGGCAAGTGTGGCTGAAAAGATGAATGAAACACTGGACATCAGACAAAGCCAATGACCTGCTTTCACGCTGGCACCCTTTGAAGCCTGCGGCCTGCTGACAGGGCTCTGAGCGTTGATGAAGTGTCTGTGTTAGGGATGGAACCCTCAGAGGTGGGGAGGCGTGGTCCCAGCCCCCGCGAAGCCCCCGGCCAGGCGCCTGCCCCTTGTCAGGGTGGCCGTGATGAACAGAGGACCTGGCCAGTGTGGCCACAGTTGCTCTGCTCCTCAAGTCCAAATCACGGGCAGGGCCGGGCAGCTGTGTGCAGCTGGAAGCGCCTCCCAGCGGTCCTCTGGGACCCCGAGGTATTTTACGAGCAGAGTTACCAAACGTGTGATATACGTGCCCTCTGAAGGCAGAGCGAAAGGGTATGATTTAAAAATAGAAGCCAGCGTCTTGTAGCAGATTACATCAGCTCAAGTTGTGAGCTCACAGCCCGATGCCCTTGAGAGGGTCCTCCTATGGTCAATTATGCGTGTCTTGTTTATCTTGAAAGCCAGAATCGGGCTGCAGGCTGATGATAGTCGATGGAACACAAGAAGCAAGTTGTGCGTCTTCCAAAGAGAGCTTATGGAATGTGCATGTGGGCACTCGTGGGGGCCGGGTCCTCGCAGACCGGGAACCGGGGTTCTCATGAGGGCCATTTATTAAACAGCTTAGTGCAGTCCCTTCGGTCGAGTGCTCCATCACTCTTGATGCACAAGGATATATCCAAGGGTGTCGTAAGAGGCGGGAGTGCTGCACTCCGGGGTTCTGTGTAAAATGCTGTTGGGTTTAGGAGACCTGTTAACCCAGCAGCCCTACCATCGAAGGCTGTGCTGCAGGGAGATTATTAACTAATGCTGGCAGCTTGCTAGGTAGGGTGTTGTTAGGGCCATCTGGCAGCGGTGCCCTGGGGTCCTGATTCGGGTTTGTAGAGATTGGTCAAGGACTGGCAAACAGCAGTATTGAGACTAGAGGGATTTTTTTTTCCTGTGAACAAAGACTTGGGTTAATTAATTTGACAGCATCATTAATTACTGCTGAAATCACTGGGCTCTGTCAGAGGTCGGGCTCTTTGAGCAATTGAGGGCAGATCCCATGAGAGTCGGAGACCCTGGGGAGGGTCTCGGCTCACCGTCTCTGCACCGGGACAAAGGCTGGCC